TACGGACCCCTCAAAGAGTTGTTGCAAGGGTTCTTAACGTGCAAAGAGCGTGGCACTCTCTTTACACGAGGCATCGGATTTAACGTCCCCATTCTGACCGGACGTGGCTGCAAATTTGTACATCCCGCACAGCCAAACGGACGCCCCACTTTAGCACGGGTTTTACTGCCGGTCGGAGGAAGACCAATGGTGACCATACTTCTATTCCCCAGTCACCCTTGGGGGTGATTTTATATGGATAAATGTACATGCATTTGTACACAGTTTAGCTCTTGTGATGAAATAACCCTAAAACATATATTTGTTCACAGTCATAGTATATTTCATTACAAACAAATGTTAACTTTAGAATATCACGTTGTCAGTATGAAATAACTGTTGAGACTCTAGGTTTTGCTGACGCAAGTTCTTGAAAAAAATATTTGAATGGAATAAATTGAGCCAGCAGTTTGAACTGCATTTCATTTCTTAGTTTTTCTTCTCTTTTTAAATTCTTGTGGTATTCCTAAACTTTCTACATGACCTGACCAATATCAGCGATGACAGGACCAAATGAAAATGCTAATAGCTTTTTTAATTCTCAAAGGATTTTTCTCAAATTTGAAATAGAATAAGATGTCATCATTCAAAACAAAAAAAATTAAAAGCTTGCGAAAACACGACCCGATTAACGTTGACAATGACCTGACCAACATCGGCAATGACCTGACCGATGAAAAGTCCTAATATCTTTGTTATTTTACTTACAAAACTTTTAAATGGTTAAATGTTGATCCAGAATTAATGAGATATTACCAAAAAATCGGGAAAAATATACTTTTTGGGATAAAAAAAACTTGACCTAACCAACGTTGACTGTGCCCTGATCGTTGTACTGATAACTACTTTATACTTATTCATATGTTATAGGATTTGCTTCAAATTTATAAAAAAAACATTAAGATTAAACAGTTAAGTTTGTTATCAAATAAAAAAAAAACTGGGGGAAAACAGTTTAGGGAGTAAAAAAACAACGTGACTTGACCAATGCACACCGTGTCCAAATTTACTAATCTGATCATCCGCTTATTGTGATTAGATTACTGGCTTGTTATATCTGTATTAAAAATAAAGAAACAGGGAACACCGTGCTTTTTCCATATAAGAATTAAAGAAACAAGGGACACAGGCGGACACAAGTGGACACAACGTTATATCTGTATACAAATTATAGAAACTGCATGGTGGCTACAGGCGGCCTAGTACAACTGGACACTGCAATTCCTATATACAAATTAAAGAAACAGGGGAATACAGGCGGACACAAGTGGACACAACGTTAATTCTTTGTAAAAATTATAGAAACTGGTGGCTACATTTTTTCATAGATGTGGACGAATTTTGAAAATATTATGATCTACAATCATGAAATAATGTCTTGGGAGACAACAGTTGCTCCTAATAAAGGAGGAAGATACAGAGCATATCCGGAAGACGTGTCTAAGTAGCGTTGAATTCAAATTTCAAATTTGTGTATAATCTAACACTGATTCTGTAGAATAATTCAGACTGTTTTGCTAGCATTCTGCATGACATTATAGTCATCCCAGGGTACAGGACGAGGACCTAGCTAGCAGTGTACCCCACCCTGAAATAAGAAAAATAAGTAGGATTAAACATACAAATAAATGTACTTGTAAAAGAATAAAAAAAGTAAACTTTAAATGATAGATCACAATAAAAAAACTACGTCCATGTTTGAAAGCATAAGAAAAGCAAAATTATGTGATAGAAATAATCTTGCCTATAAGAATAGCTGAAAGGTAATGCATGTAAACGATTATCAAACATATTAACAAACGATAAATTTATTGACTTTCGGGAAAATTTAAAACTAAGAAAGATATGCTGCACAAGGCTCGGGCATACCTCAAGTAGTCCGCGGAAACAATTATTTACTGTTATGAAAATATTTAAAACTGCCAAGATAGCCTGCACAAGGCTCGGGCATACCTCAAGTAGTCCACGGAAATAATTATTTACTGTTATGAAAATATTTAAAACTACCAAGATATCCTGCACGAGGCTCGGGTATACCTTAAGTATAGTCCGCTGAAATAATTATTTACTGTTATGAAAATATTTAAAACTACCAAAATATCCTGCACAAGGCTCGGGCCGGGGTATACCCCAAGTAGTCCGCGAAAATCACGGTTTATTTATCTTTATGAAAATATTTAAAACTACCAAGATATCCTGCACAAGGCTCGGGCATACCTCAAGTAGTCCGCGAAAATCACGGTTTATTTATCTTTATGAAAATATTTAAAACTACCAAGATATCCTGCACAAGGCTCGGGCATGCCTCAAGTAGTCAGCGGAAATAATTATTTACTGTTATGAAAATATTAAAAAAACAAACGATATATGATGCTAATTACTGTAATCACTAACTATATATTGTTACTTTATAATTGTAATCAAACGTGTCAAATCATGACCGGTAATATACAACATAATTTACAACACAGCTAAATACAATATACTATACTATATATACAATAAAAAGTTCAAATAATGTGGTGCTCGTCACAGTACCAATCTTCTAGAACTCCTGAACATGTCTGATGAACCCACTTAGCACATATTGATCACTCTTCCAATCATCGGAGTTTTCAGATCTTATTAAATATACCTCGATGTTTTTCGGCTTTGATGGTGGCATGTCTGAAATATAAGATGTTTCAGGATTACTCAAAATACGTACAATGTCATTCTGATAAAGCTTCTCTGTTACGGTGTAAAGTGTCACACCGCCACCAACTAAAATTCGTGAAGGAGTCTTAGAAATGAAAGCATGTGAACAGTCATTAGTGTAACCAAGGAATTGTATATTTAAATATACAATTCCTTGGTGTAACCCGAAGACGTGTGGATAACGGTTTCGGATTAGAATCTTTTGTCCGGTAGGTCTTTTCACCACCGCACACCACCGAACACATTAAAATACCATCTGACCAGGGGCGGATCCAGTACCTCGATGTCTGGGGTGGGTAGGGGGGCACCATGAAACCAAAATTAAAGATTTGTTTAGATATGTATATATGCGAGTGTGGGTGGTGGTGGTGTCACGTATTGGGGATGATGGTGGTCGTGTGTGTGTGGGGTGGCGGGGTCGGGTCTTCACTTCTATATTTTTTTTATTATTTTTAAGCAATTATAGGCAACCGTACGGCCCTCAACAATGAATCGGAACGATTTTAGTTGGTAATTTCTTTCTTGATCAGAAGATTTCACTTGTTAATCGATCTTGATCCTGTAATATTGTATTAACAACCAATTAATATATTAAAATATTAAAAATATTAATTCCAATCAGCATGTACATGTACATGTAATTTACACAAATGCTTTTGGATATAGACATTACACAAAGGTGTCAATATTTACACACCCTTTGATAAGTTGTCATAAATCACGCATATTGAAGCTGGGGTTAATTAACGACCAATTTCGGAAGTCAAATCAAGCTGTGTCTTTATTTTCGATCTAGATATCTAGACAAGCAGATACAGTACTGTAGCAATAAGATTATGTTAGAAATTTTTTTGGTTACCCCGACTGGGGGGGGGGGGGGGGGTGGGGGCATGTGCCCCAGTGCCCCCGGTAAATCAGCAAGTGCTGACACACCTAAATATATTGTTTTCATCTTTATTTTTATATTTGACTTACCTTCTGAACGAGGATAAATATGTTTATACATATGTAGGACTCTAAAATGCGATGGTACTCTAAAGTGCGATGGTCTACGCTAAAGTGCGATGGTGTCAGACGCTAAAGTGTGATGGTGTCAGACGCTAAAGTGCAATGGTTGTTTGTTTTTTTAAGTGCGATCAGATGACACGCTAAAGTGCGATGATATGACACGCTAAAGTGCGATGGTATATGACACACTAAAGTGCGTTGCTTTAACACGCTAAAGTGCGATGGTGTAACGGGAATGGGGTTCAGGCAAATTCAGGGCTAATCGCAAAATGAATTATACGCGAAAATAAGTTGGTTTACAGTACTTTGACACTTGGTGTATTTTGCCGTTTTCGCTCTCTCTTACGGTATACACTTTCCCCTAACTATCGTCCGTTTCTATGTTTATGAGAAGTCCCTTTTCCAATATCTTGACAGAAACACGTTTGTCCCCGCCGACACCACGGGATCAAAGGTTTGCATTTCTGTTACTGTGGATGATTTTTTGGGAAATAACTCCTCCGCATACAAACTCTTCTAGCACCGATCAAGAATGTTCCGGATTGGGATCATTTGTTTCTCTTTTCTTGTCTAGTAAAAATCCTTCATCTGCACAAACATTCTCGTTTACCGGCATGTCCGTTTTTGTTTGTACATATTGCTATTTAACGTTGCAAACGTCCATACTTTCGCGAACAAACGCACTTTCGCGGAAAAACGCACTTTAGCGGATCACGGCATCGGACTTTCATAGCGTTTTTCATTAAAAAGCACAGATCATCGCACTTTAGCATGGACCATCGCACTTTGGCATGACCATCGCGATTTAGCGTCCCCATCGCACTTTAGAGTCCTACACATATATATACACACATTAATTAAGAAATGATTACAAGAGAACCAATTTAAAAGAACAGTCTTGCAGGGCTTGTCAGAACAGTACACTTTCAAGTCTAACATTTTTTTATAAATATAATTATTGTGGTAATTTCACAATAAAATGTTTTAACTTATTTGAACAATTTATTTCTAATAATTGAAAAGTAAAGACCATACGATAATATACAATGAAATACAGACAATGTAAATCCGGAAAAAAATATTGCTGGATCCGGAAGCGTTTTATTTTTTAAATTTTGATTCTCAACTTTAACATCACTAATGCACATAAAAATGTGAAAAAAAAACATGACAATAGGATTACATTTAACATAATGTAATCGATTTTATTGTTTTATTGTGTAACATTAATGTTTTACTTAAGGGTTAGTGGTCTTTTTGGGTGTTCGGTGGTGTGTGGTGGTGTTCGGTGGTGAAAAGACCGACCCTCTTTTATCTACTTCCGTTTATTTATTTTTTTTTATAAACAGCAGGTACATCAAGAATTTGTATAGTACTATACAAATCCTTGGGTACATGTAAAAAATTAAGGAATACAACAAGAATTTAAAAAGAAAAGAAAAAAAAAATGCTGGCTCAATTTATTCCATTCAAATATTTTTTCAAGAACTTGCGTCAGCAAAACCTAGTCTCAACAGTTATTTCATAACAACGTGATATTCTAAAGTTAACATTGTAATGTAATGTACTATGACTGTGGGCAAATATATCTTTCAGGGTTATTTCATCACAAGAGCTAAACCGTGTACAGATGCATGTATAGTCATTTATCCATATAAAATTATATGTTAATTCGACTGGCAGAATTAGACGTCGATAGTTTTATCAAAAGAAAAATTTAAGCGGTATACACGGTCACAGACATCCAATATGTTGAACTCAGTTGATGTAAATAACCTTCAAGAGCATTCCACTAATCCAAAAACTAATGATGAAAAAGAAGGTCGTCTTTCTAAAAGACTTTGTTATATCTTAAGATATGGAGCCTTGAAAGAAGGATTGGAAATTTCTGGAGGAGGTTTGTGAAACAATCTGTTATACATTGTAATGTCATGAATGTAATATTGAGCAATGGTATGGTGGAACTTGAAGTGAGGTCATGTAGGAACAATTGAACCATACTTCTGGATCTTCAGATTGCTGGCAATGTTGTTCTTTAATGTTTACATGTATTCTGTTTTACTTCATTGCCATTTTGATTAATTGTTTGTTTCCGGTACCACTATTTCCCAAGAACTCCCAAGAACTGAATATTGACCCGAGAACCCATAGATATCATATTACAAAAAGTTAATTGTATATGGTGTTACAATGTAGACTGTTTTTGTAGATATTAAAGTGTATAATTTTGAGATACAATGTATATATAAGTAAATTTTTCTCAAAAAAGTCCAATTTTACTTCAGGAATTCAATTTGTGTGTCTTGTAAACAAGTACCTTGCACAATAATATGGCAGACACAATTATTCAAAAGGTAGATAACTATATCCAAATAAAAGAGTAAAAAAGTTCCAAAGGATTAGTTTCTTTAATAATAGAAATTTGAAAAGTAAATGCATTATTCATGTTATCTGGGCCCAGGACTATTATACTAACTTTTGTTATTCGGAAAACTTAAATTAAAAAAAAATGATTAATACTTTTTTATACTTTTATTAAGATAGAGTTATCTATATATATAGCTACATGTACATGTATCTTTTGAATATTTACGTCCGCCTTATTGTTATCCACACGGAACTTGTATACAAGATACACAAATCTAATTCCTGAGGTGAAATTGTACTTTTATTGAGTGAAAATGACTTATATTCCAAAATTATATACTTCAATTACACATGTATCTGTAAAAGCAGTAAAACACCATATAAAATAAATTTTTCGAAAAACATATATCGGTTCTCAGGTCAAAAGTCAGTTCTTGGGAGTCCTTGAGAAATCATGGTACCCGTTTGTTTCTTAATTCCAGATAAAATATCATGTTCTGCCTTAAGAAATATTTTAATGGTTGGTTTCCCCAGAACTTGTCTGTCATGTCTGTTCTACATGTATTTTGAATGTGTTAAAACTTTAAGCTGAAATAATGAAATAATGTCTTCATTAAGGTATATATGAACCTTTTGGCTAAAATTGCTAAAAAGTGCACTGCAAAATCCAGTTTTTATACGACCGCAAAAAAAATTTGAGGTCGTATATTGGTATGACGTTGGCGTCGTTGTCGTCGTCCGAAGACACATTGGTTTTCGCACTCTAACTTTAGTTTAAGTGAATGGATCTCTATGAAATTTTACAATAAGGTTCAATACCACAAAAGGAAGGTGGGGATTGATTTTGGGGGTTATGGTACCAACAGTTAAGGAATTAAGGGCCAAAAAGGGGCAAAAAACAAGCATTTTTCTAGTTTCATGACAAAAACTTGTGTGTAAGTGTATGGATCTCTCTGACATTGTACTAAAAGGTTCCATATTACAAAGGGAATGCTGGGATTGATTTAGGGGGTAATATCCTCCAAATTTTAGGAATAAGGGGCCAAAAAGGGGCAAAATCAAGCATTTTTCTAGTTTCATGACAATAACTTGTGTTCAAGTGTATGGATCTTTATGAAATTGTACTACAAGGTTCCATATCACAAAGGGAAAGCTTGAATTGAGTTTGGGGGTAATTGCCCAAAACGTTTAGGAAAAAGGGGCCAAAAAGTGGCAAAAAATAAGCATTTTTCTAGTTTCCAGACAATAACTTGTGTTCAAGTGAATGGATCTCTCTGAAATTGTACTGCAAGGTAACATACCACAAAGGGAAGGATGGGATTGATTTTGGGGGTAATTCCCTCAAAATTTTAGGAATTAGGGACCATAAAAGGGCAAAAAAACAAGCATTTTTCTAGTTTCAGGACAATAACTTGTGTGTAAGTGTATGGATCTTTATGAAATTGTACTGCAAGGCTCCATATCACAAAGGGAAAGCTGGGTTTGAGTTTGGGGGTAATTGCCCTAAGGAATTTGGGGCCAAAAAGGGGCCAAATAACAAGCATTTTTCTAGTTTCCAGACAATACCTTGTGTTCAAGTGTATGGATCTCTCTGAAATTGTACTGCAAGGTAGCCTACCACAAAGGGAATGCTGGGATTGAGTTTGGGGGTGACGAATCATAAGGGGGGTTTAAAAAATTTGGGGGGGGGGGATTTTGTTTTCCTTTTTTTTCTTTAAAATTTTCCATTTTAAATTGGTCATGTTGGTTATTTCTGATTTATATATAAAAGCAAATAATATTGATATGGTTTGAATAGGTAAATTAAAAAATTTTAAGTTCTTAGACCACATTCATTCTGTGTCAGAAACCTATTCTGTGTCAAATATTTAATTACAATCCAAATTCAGTGCTGTATCAAGCTTGAATGTTGTGTCCATACTTGCTCCAACTGTTCAGGGTTTGACCTCTGCGGTCGTATCAAGCTGCGCCCCAGCGGAGCATTTTATTAATTATCTTAAACATAAAACGCATTTGAATTTATTTATCTAGGTCATGCTATGTCTTAAAGCTTTTCCAGATACACAGGTTTGTCTGTAGTCAGAATAAATTTTGAGGTGAAAACACAGCCATTTTAGCTAAAGGATCCACATGAACCTTATAAGATGTACACATGTAAAACATAATTATTGAAAACCTAATAAATGATGCATCTTTTAAAATACATAGATCTCATCAATTGTATCCAATATCATGAATGTGTAACGGTGGTCACTCTGTTTTATTGTTTAGATGATTTATTTTAGGTAATTGGTTAAAGTATTAAGTATTATTTATAGTTCTGCAACTATTTCTCCTGATCCTGGCCATGTATGATGTAAATGTTCTTGTCTGGTTACTTCCCGTTTCTTGCACATGCCAACATCCTGGCCGGGCTCGTCCCTAGGAACTATAAATATGATGACACGTCATGTGGCAAGAAGACTAGCTGCCACCATTTGTATATTTATCTTATGTAAACTTGTGTTCAACCATACATCTTCTAAATAAACATCTTGTTTATACATTTATGTACATTGTTGTAGTTTGTCCATTATCTCAAAATTTAGGCAGACAACAGGAAGACAACAAAGCCAGTAGGAAATCACACTCCCATCACACATGTTTGTTTGTTTCTTTTTCTTTATAATGTATTTCTGGATAAATGAAAATACATGACCATGTGCATGCACATTTATAAAATACAGAAACAGATACATAAACCAAGCTTCAATTAGATATGATTATAATTTAATGTCACTTGAAAAAGAACAAAAGGTTGTCCATCCATGCATTTGATAGACACATATTTGTATGGAACTTTACCTTGATGACATGCTGAAATTATATATAATAATGTTGCAAAGCAGTGTATATATATAGGCCTTAATTTGTATTCAAAATCTTTGTCTTTTTCAGGTTTTGTTGATGTGTCTCAGGTGATGGGATTAGATATGATGAAATACCACTCTCTTGAAGATGTTTTACAAGAGATAGAAACATCCATATCTCATAGAGGTGCCAAGAGATTTGAATCAAAAATGGAAAACGGCAAAACTTTAATAAGAGCATGCTTCTGTCGTAATTTTGAACTGGTATGTACAGGTACATTGTACAACTCTGTCTGTGTTATTATGTCATACATATATAATTAGTTTTAAAGGAAATGTATTGGTCATGTTGGTATTGGATATTGAAAATTTGAAATTAATTTGAAACAGTTGCTGTATATTTGGTGAGCCATTAATTTTATAATTCAAAAGTAGCACTAGCACATTATATTCATATGCACAGAGATGTATTCAAGGGTTGGAGAGGTGGACATGTCTAAGGGGCTCATGCTCCGAGGTGAATTAAAGGGTTGGGGAGGTGGACATGTCTAAGGGCTCATGCTCTGAGGTGTATTGAAGGGTTTGGGAGGTGGACATGTCTAAGGGGCTCATGCTCAAACTCTGAGGTGTATTGAAGGGTTGGGGAGGTGGACATCTCTTAGGGGCTCATGCTCAGAGGTGTATTGAAGGGTTGGGGAGGTGGACATGTTTAAGGGGCTCATGCTCAGAGGTGTAATGAAGGGTTGGGGAGGTGGACATGTTCAAGGGGCTCATGCTCCGAGGTGTATTGAAGGGTTGGGGAGGTGGACATGTTTAAGGGGCTCATGCTCCCAGGTGTATTTAAGGGTTGGTGAGGTGGACATGTCTAAGGGGCTCATGCTCTGAGGTGTATTTTAGGGTTGGGGAGGTGGACATGTCTAAGGGGCTCATGCTCCAAGGTGTATTGAAGGGTTGGGGAGGTGGACATGTCTAACAGGCTCATGCTCCGAGGTGTATTGAAGGGTTTGGGAGGTGGACATGTTTAAGGGGCTCATGCTACGAGGTGTATTGAAGGGTTGGGGAGGTGGACATGTTTAGGGCTCATGCTCTGAGGTGTATTGAAGGGTTGGGGACATGTCTAAGGGGCTCATGCTCCTAGAAGTGATGTCAGTTGAACATGGTAGCATACTTGTTTTTCTCATTATCTAATATAACTTATGAAACCAATTAATCCATCTGTTAGACACTTAATTGAATATACAGAGATTTACATTGTAATTGAGAGGGATCACCAATAATTATCAGAAATCACAATGTAAAATTTTCGACAAGAGTGATTACATACTCACTGTATACTGTCTATAATAAATAATATAGAATCGTTTACCAAAATGGTAGAAGACAAGTCTATGAGACAAACTAAATGGGTTAATGAACATATTTTTGTGCCCCCGCCGTAGTAGAGGGGGCATTAAGTTTTACCCTTGTCCATATGTCCTAAAGTTGGTTTCTGTTCTGTAACTTTAGTTTGCCTTAACCAAATGTTATGAAACTTATACAGAATGCTTATTACCACAAAATAAAGATCAAGTTTGCATTTTGGTGGCGTCACTTAAACCGTTGTAGAGTAATGCCCCTTTACAAATGGAAAAATTGCTGAAATTTTCGTTTCCGTTCTCTAACTTTAGTTTGCCTCAACCAAATGTTATGAAACTTATACACAATACTTATTACTACAAAACTCAGATAAAGAACAAATTTGGGTAGCGTCACTTTTACCGTTCTTCAGTTATGTCCCTTTATAACTTTATATGATATGCAAGCAGGGGCATCTTCTGTGTCCCATGGACACATTCCCCATTTATTTCTTTATATTCTATTCTAAATGATAGGAAAATTAGTAGAAAATCTACATATATATGTTTTGTTGACATGAAAAAGGCTTTTGACACTGTCTGACATGATTTATAATGGTACAAACTTCAAACGATTGGAATACGAGGGCAATTTTTAAGCGCAATAAAATCACTTTATGAAGATGTTTGATGCGCAGTTAGAGTCAATAGAGAGCTTGCCCCCTGGTTCCATGTGTCATTGGGTGTATAACAGGGCTGTATTCAATCGCCAACTTTATTTTCGATTTATATTAACGATTTGGCAGAAAAGGTACCGGTAAATGCATTAAATTGTTGTGCTAAATTTAATTAAGAAACACTTTATGCAGACGATATTGTACTTATAGCACCCGATGAACAGAGCCTGCAACAAATGCTAGACTTTTTAAGGACTGGTGCTGGTCTTGGAAATTGTCAATGTCTGTGAATCCAGAAAAGACTAAAGTGGTACATTTTAGACCACAATCGTTCAACTTCATGTCTTTCCAGTTCAAATGTTCAAACAACAACATTTTTATGACGGATTCGTATTAGTATTTAGGAATATGGTTGGACAATCATTTAACGTTTGATAAAGCCACCAAAGAACTATCAAAGTTGGCTAGTAGAGCTCTCATTGAATTTGAAGTTTTGGGAAAATTTATTTCATCAGGTGGTATGTCGTACTAAGTGTTCACAAAACTTTGTAATTCAATGGTGGAGCCAGTATTGGTGTACCGAAGTGCCATATGGGGAACAAAATCATATACCGTTATTAACAGTGTAATAGAATAAAGCATGTAAATTCTTTTTGTCTGTTGATAAACATACGCCAAACATTCCACCTGTGGTGATATGGGATGACTATTTTGTCTCAGTAAGCAACGTATTTCTTGTATAAGACTATGTGAATTAACACGAATGGACCAAAACAGGAAAATATTTATGGTTTGGCGTTGGGCATCAAGACGAAAAAAAGGATGGAATTATGAAGTGAATAAAACTGTTACTTTATTAACATGAATCATGATTAAATGTAAATGAAGAAGTGAGTAATGTAATTTTGAATACAAAACGCGTTATGAAAACTGTTACCGAGATTGACAATGATGAATGGTATAACAAAGTTTTTAATGACCGTGGAAACCAAAACAGTAATAAACTACGAACATATAGACAGTTTAAACAGGAATGAAATATTGAACCATATGTCTCACGATTAATACTTAGACAACATAAATGCGTTATAGCACCGTTCCGTGCCGGATCTCTACTGCTAGCCATAGCTTCCAGGGGCGTAGCTAGGTATCCAATAAACTGTAGGCACAAATTGCGGCAGGGGGTCTGGGGACTGCTCAAGGCCCCCAGCAGGTCCAGGGCAGAGCCCTTGTAGGGGGATCAGGGGGGCTTTGCCCCCCGACGGAAAACTGTTTTCAGAATTTTAATTGCAACATTTTGTGTACAAAAAAACATGAAAACTTATCATTTTATCATGATAATATGCATGAAAAAAATTTCGAAGAAAATTTAATAAACATAATTTTACAACTACATCTGACTGATGAATTAACTGGCAGTACAATCGGAAATATACAAAAAAAAAAATATTTACAATATGCATTGCCCAGCGTGGATCAGCGTAGCCCTTTATTAAGCAGCAAAACCTGTTTAGTATTTTCATATCTATTCCTTTCTGATTGAGGATAATTGATATATACGTCAAATTTAAAAGAAGCCTTCACCGTCCCCTGGCTACACAAACACATACACACACACACACAGTTGATGCCTCATGCAAAAGTTCTGTTCTGTTCATACTATCGAACAAAATTCAAGAAATTCATATTTCCTTATATCCTGTACTGTAAAATCCCTACCTGCTTAGGAATTTGAATAATTATGGTCATTACATGTAGATCTGAGAGTACTAGAAGTTACTGAAAGACGTGACTGCGTATTTATACATTCTGCACAGCCAAACTTTGGCAATGTTTTATTGTAAGTCGGATGAAGACCAAGTGGAAAGCTAGTTGAAAGCCAACAACAACTAATTAAAAAAAGTCATGTGTCTAAGTTGAGATTCATTCAAGTATTTGTTGATCTGAACCAAAGTTCTAGTTTATAGTTTCTATATAAGGGGGAATATAATAACATACAATTCTATCCAATACTCCATTCACTAAGGATGATAGACTAGTGTACAGATGACATTCGATAATTAAAAAGTTTTGAAGACTTCACTGGCGTGCATCTACAGATAGCGTTGTTTATTTTTTTTTTTAATAGAAAAAAATTTTTGTGAAAAAATTATGTGTAGGCACGTGCCTAAAGTGCCTAACGGCAGCTACGCCCCTGGAAACGGGAAGGTATGCCAGCCAACAATTTCAGTTCATAACGGACTTTGTGTGTTTTGTACGAACATTTGTTATGAATAAAAAAAAAAACACTTTCTTTTGAATTGCTCTCTTTATGATGACTTTAAGATGGGTTTTATTTTCTGAATGTTCAAACTATATTGAAAATTTTGTTAATTTAGACGATAATCAGAAATTAGTTGAAATTATGAATTGTCATGAAATTCAAACTTTTTTAAGCAAAAGTATATATTTTTTATTTTTTTATGAGACGAAAGTTTTTTTGAATTTGAGATACTAATTTTTATAGTTTAAGTAACCTTTAAACTTTACTACTTTTAAAGTTATGTGATATTTAAATGAAATAAATAGTAATAATAATAATACATTTTTATCTATATAATTTATTATTTTAATTTATCAATTGAATTTGTAATTATGTGAATAATAAATCTTTTTAAAATTGTTTGAAAAAAACAAATTTAAGGAAAGGTTATGTACATATGAATGTGACTTGTTTTATAAATATGTGTCTCATAAGCCAACTCAAAGGCTGGTTATTGATTGTTTTAATGTTATTATGTTATAGTATAATGTACAATCAATATGTGACACAATAAAATTTATTTTAATTAAAGATTTACCTAGAAAAAGTATGCAATTAAATCAAAACTAATCATGTCATACTTAGTTTCTTCTATTTTTGTCGAGCCTTCGACTTTTGTCAAAAAAGCGCGACAAAGCGATCCTACATTCTGTTCTTCGTTGTCGTCGTCTGTGGTTAAAGTTTTTGAAATTTTAATAACTTTCTTAAACTATCCTGGATTTCTACCAAACTTGGACAGAAGCTTGTTTATGATCATAAGATAGTATCCAGAAGTAAATTTTGTGAAAAAAAAAATTCCTGTTTTTCCGTATTTTACTTATAAACATGATAAATGGACTTAGTTTTTCTGCCAGGAAACATTACATTCACTCTGTGGTTAAAGTTTTTAAAATTTTAATAACTTTCTCAAACTATCCTGGATTTCTACCAAACTTGGACAGAAGCTTGTTTATGATCATAAGATAGTATCCAGAAGTAAATATAAAAAAAAAAAATCCTATTTTTCCGTATTTTACTTATAAATGGACTTAGTTTTTCTGCCAGGAAACATTACATTCACTCTGTGGTTAAAGTTTTTAAAATTTTAATAACTTTCTTAAACTATCCTGGATTTGTACCAAACATGGACAGAAGTTTGTTTATATGATCAAAAGCTAGTATCTAGTAGGAAATTTTTATTAAAATTTTGTACTTGTTTATCCATATTTTACTTATAAATGGACTTCCAGTTAACATAAGATACAGTCTGCAGTTAAATTTTTTAAAACATTTATTAGATTCATAAACTATCCTGGATTTTTACCAAACTTGGACAGAAGCTTCTTTCAATAAAAAAATTGTATCGAGAGGAATATTTTTATTAAATTTTTTCCTCATCTCATTTTTGTTGATCCTGCGATTAACAGCAAAAGTAGGCGAGACACTTGGTTCCGCGGAATCCTTACAAATATTTATTTTGTTTCATACTATGTTTGAAAATTGGTAAATTGTAAATTATTCTGTTCGTTCTGGGTGGTGTGATTGGCAATTAAAATATTTGTTTGTTTGCAAATAGTAAGCTACCGTGACATATCAGCTGAAACAAAAGTAAATTGTTAAAGTTTGGATGGAAAGTATATATATGTTGATAAAGTTGGTTTCCTTATTATTATTTTATTTATTTTTATATTTGTAGAGCACATATCATGAAGGTTCTAATGTACCAACACTACTGGCTAATTGTTTAGACCATATAACTTCTAATATAAATATGTATGACCTTGAAGATTTTCCTGATGAGTATTTAATTAAGTGAGTATATAAACAACAATTACAACATTAGTACGAATCAGCAAATCCATTTTAGACAGAAAATTATATAAATCATGTGAATTTTGTCAGACTTATTCTTTTCTTGATTGTAACATTTTTATCTCTGAACATGTTGTGTATAAATTCGAAAAAATCACTGCTGTGATAAATGGAATGAGCTGTACAAATAACATTATTCAATTTATAGACCAATAATTCTTAGGTATTTAATATTCTATCAGTTTGACTTAATTTTTTCTCAACATCCTTACAATACACAAAATGACCTGGCTTGTAAATATAATTCAGAAAAGGTTGATTTGTTGATTACTCGTTGTTGCATCACGACACAGAAAGGTATAGAACCACTAATTCGGCCCAATCAGAAAGAACATACAGGAAAGAAGTACACATTTTAAAGAAAAAGTTCCTACACATAGCTCTAACTTTGTAAATAAGTAAAATATTTGGGTTATTTTAGTATCAAATGACAGCTTTGGGTCTTGGGATCACTGAAGAACCCTTGTTGAAAGTTTCGTTTAAATAATTAAAAAAAAATGAAATTGTAGCAGTTGGGAATGTTTTCTATGTTGTTCCTATGAATTAGTGGTTTTATCCCTCGAAAGTAAAAAGAGAACACAGTAGTTCTATTGGAACTTCCAAAATATGTAGAGTTTTAGCAGAAAGAAAAAAATTATTACTATTTCTCATAAAGTAATAAATTATTTAACTTTTTCATAAGTACATTATAAGCAGTTGTGTTTGTCAGTATGATTTAAATTACAAATGTAGGAAGAAGTATGTCAGAATTTTTATCATAAAAACATGTATTTTTCTCCGTGTTAAATGCCTCACTGCCACTTTGAGATGAAGAACAGCAATAAAAGCACTCTTCTTCTGATTTTTATACGACCGCAAAAAAATTTTGCGATCGTATATTGGTATGACGTTGGCGTCGTCCTCGTCCGGCGTCGTCCGAAGACACATTGGTTTTCGCACTCTAACTTTAGTTTAAGTGAATGGATCTCTATGAAATTTTACCATAAGGTTCAATACCACAAAAGGAAGGTTGGGATTGATTTTGGGGGTCATTGTACCAACAGTTAAGGAATTAGGGGCCAAAAAGGGGCAAAAAAAAAACATTTTTGTAACTTCCAGACATAACTTGTGTGTTAGTGTATGGATCTCTCTGACATTGTACCACAAGGTTCCATATCACAAAGGGAATGCTGGGATTGATTTTGGGGGAAATTGCCTCCAAATTTTAGGAATTAGGGGCCAAAAAAGGGGCAAAAAACAAGCATTTTTATATGAACAAATACTTTAGTACAAAACATAATTTAAAGCAGTGTAAGGGAGATAAATCAAATACATCGTTTGAATTACCTCCCTTACACTGCTTTTAAATTATGTATAAAGTAATGGTTAACAATTAAGACAATTTAAAGCAGTGTAAGGGAGGTAATCCACATACAACATTTTGATTACTTCCCTTACACTGCTTTTAAATTATGTTTAAAGAAATGCATATTTATAAAGGAAGACCAGTAAAAATATCTGCAAATGTTGCATCTTTTTTTTTTTTACAAAAAAATCCATATGAAAGATTTGACACCATATTTTAAATTCTATTATAAAATAGATTAAGTTAGCACTATGGTAAATTTAAATGGGTAATTATGGTTGCAAATTCCATTGAGGGAAAGATTTTTTTGGGGGAAAAAGGGGGGGGGGGGGTAAAAAGAAATTGTGGGGGGTCAATTTTTTCTCATTTCAGATTTCAGAAATCAAAAAGAATTATTCTTCAAATATTATTTTTTTTTCAAATTTCAAATATTGAAAAATTTCAAAAAGTAATCTTTAATTGCACAGTATGGCGCATTAGATTTGTAAAATCTTTGATCACATTTATTTATTTGTTATGCCAAATCTGACCGTGTATTTAGATTTTTAATTTTAGGTCCAGTTTTCAAATTGGTCTACATTAAGGTCCAAAGGGTCCAAAATTAAACTTAGTTTGATTTTAACAAAAATTGAATATATGGGGTTCTTTGATATGCTGAATCTAAACATGTATTTAGATTTTTGATTTTGGGCCCAGTTTTCAAGTTGGTCCAAATTGGGGTCCAAATTTAACTTTGTTTGATTTCAACAAAAATTGAATATATGGGGTTCTTTGATATGCTGAATCTAACCATGTATTTAGATTTTTTATTTGTGGGCCCCGCTATCAAATTGATTCATATTGAGGTCAAAAGGGTCCCAAATTAAACTTTGTTTGATTTCATCAAAAATTGAATTATTGGGGTTCTTTTATAAGCCAAATCTAACCGTGTATTTAGATTTTTAATTTTGGGTCCCGTTTTTTAAATTGGTCTACATTAAGGTCCAAAGGGTCCAAAATTAAACTTAGTTTGATTTTAACAAAAATTGAATTCTTGGGGTTCTCTGATATGCTGAATCTAAACATGTGTTTAGATTTTTGATTATGGGCCCAGTTTTCAAGTTTGTCCAAGTTGGGGTCCAAAATTAAACTTTGTTTGATTTCAACAAAAATTGAATATATGGGGTGCTTTGATATGCTTAATCTAACCATGTATTTTGATTTTGGGGCCCCGTTATCAAATTGGTCCACATTGAGGTCAAAAGGTTACAAAATTAAACTTTGTTTGATTTCATCAAAAATTGAATTCTTTGGATTCTTTGATATGCTGAATCTAACCATGTATTTAGATTTTGGATATTGGACCATAATAGGTAAATTAAAAAATATTAAGTTCTTAGACCACATTCATTCTGTGTCAGAAACCTATGCTGTGTCAAATATTTAATCACAATCCAAATTCAGAGCTGTATCAAGCTTGAATGTTTTGTCCATACTTGCCCAAACTGTACAGGGTTTGATCTCTGTGGTCGTATCAAGCTGCGCCCAGCGGAGCATTTTATTAAATGTTTTGTTTGCATGTACTAATTTTTGTGTCATGGATGGATACCTCATATTCTTTCTTTTCTAATTATTTTATTTCTTTAAACTTTCACAGTAAGATGATTCATCGACTCAAACGACAAAAGAAATTGAACAATTCAACATTACGACAGTTACTTGTTCCTATTTTGGAACACCTTGACCTTGATGGTGTGTATGTAACAGAGGGCACTATAAAATTAATATGGAGGTCATGCCCTAATCTGAAGGTCATTAGTTTGAAAGACTGTGGATATGTTACAACAGACAATTTAATGGAACAATTACTGAAGGTTAGTGCAGTTCTCACAAAGGGATTATGTAAAAAAAAAAAAACCAACAAAAACGGTCTTGTAACAACAACAAAAAACACTCTTGCTGGTGTTCAGTGATCAAAGTAATATAAGATGATTGCTGGCAATTTGTAGTGTTGAAACTGATATGTCATATATACAGAATATACAGAGGTACAAAACAAATATATTTCAGAATGAATCATCCGCAATCACCTAAGTTAAGTTCATCTTAACTGTGAAAAAAGTTAAAAAAACAACCAATATGGTAAATATTTACTGTATCATATTGAGTATGAATAATAGAAGATTTTGGGTATAAGTCGATCACACAGCAACCCAACTACGAACAAGAGTGCACACCTTGAAATTCCTCATCTGCTTTAATTATGATTGATTTTATGTTGAAAATCTGTAATATGAAGGTTTTACTACAAGTATCACATAATGAGGTCATGGTCAGATGAACCATGTAAGACAGATATGTACACCATACAATCATTTCATACATAAAACATAGTGGTCCTATCACTTATAGTACCCAAGAAACAGATCAAAGCACAGAATCTTAACATTGACCAAAGAACCATGAAACTGAGGTCAAGGTCATATGAACCAATGCCAGACAGACATGTACACCTTACAATCATTCTATATATCAAATATAGTTGACCTATTGCTTAAAGTATCTGATAAACTGACAAAACCATGAAGATGTATCATTGACCAATGAACCATGAAAATAAGGTCAAGGTCATATGAATCCTGCCAGACAGACATGTACACCTTACAATCATTCCATATACCAATGATAGTTGACCTATTGCTTATAGTATCTTATAAACTGACAAAACCATGAAAACGTATCATTGACCAATGTACTACATGTACCTCTTGAACAGTTTTATATGTTATGTTAATAATAATACATTGAACCAGGGATTCCAAAAAATCTTTGAGCCAGCCGGACATTTTATGTCTTGTCCCGATTTTAATTCCTTAAGAATTAGTAACAAAAGGCAATTATGGTAATCAGTTGGCCATCATATAACCAATGATTGACAATAAAAAACGATATTAAACTTTACTTTGATATAAATTCGATGTTCTGACGTAAACTGTTAAAATGACATTCCATCATTTGCAGTGTGCAACATCAGTGTACTAATATCTGCCTTAGACTCTTTATTTGTGCAAAATAATGTTGTCAAAAACTTTACTTTCGTTTTTGAAAAGCATATTTTCCTAATACCGGATGTTGACTTGACAACGGTAAAACAGGGACCAGAGACGGATACGTAAAATCCATGTGCGTTTACAAAGCACGATTGAGTTTAAGTAGCTCTCTCCACGTTATTTTTTCAAGAAAATACTTGAAATGAACGTTAGATAAAGGTATCAATGATTATTTTAGCATTTTTGAAGAATCGGGATGCATAATTAAATTTCCCACCTGTGCTCGTGTGAGTTCGTGGTCAAGTGGTTAAGAACGATGGCTACAGTGCTGAAGGTCCCGAGTTTGATTCTAACTCGGGGTGCTAAAAATATCAGTACATCAGAAGGGTGATTTTCACCCTCTCACACACATCTCTGGTACCCAGACCGGAGTTTAAACTAGAATGAGTACTTTGGGGGCCTCTGTTGGTAAAGTTGCTCCCGACTTTGACCTGGAGATCAATCTGCTGATATCTCTTTGGTTTGTCTGTTCCCGCCGAGCAGCCCGGTGGTTCTCTCTGAGTACTTCGGCTTCCTCCACCATAATAACAGACTCTGCCCGGTGTCCTAACACTCCCTGGTGTTGGGGTGGGGATTGTCGTTGTAAATATTGAACTTTGTAAATACGTTAGTGACACATCTCCATTAATCCGGATAGGGAGTGTACATGGATTCCACTGTACCCTCGCAGCTCACGAGGGGTTCTTCGGATATCGGAGGAATTTCCCAGTACATACATACATACATACTAGTTCAAACAACGTGGTTCTGATGACCTTTTTAAATTTTTCATCAAATCATGTTTATAAACGTATTTCTGATAATTTTAATCTTTTTGAATAATTCTAACATCATTAGATGTAAACTGCTGAAATGTAAGAAAATAACTTTGAATAGACCAATCAATGTCCGGTACAAAATAGTTTACCTGTCAACTGAACAGGTAAAGTTCAGCTGTCCGACAACTAATGAACCTTGATTATAATGAGAAGGTATTAAAGTAGGGTTTGTTTTTATAGCACTTATTCATCATGTCACTTTTATGACCGGAAATGTCTGGCTGTTGGCAAAAGGTCGGGTCAAAAAGATCGCATAAACTTCCAAATTTTTTGGTGAATTATGTTAAAATGACCATCTCTTAAGAAAGCCTTGAAAACTAAAAGTAGATGTCCGTTTCATGCTTTTCCCAGACGGACAATGTCCGGACAATTTAAAAATGTCCGGAATATATGACCGTTTTGGAAGCCATGCATTGAACTACTTGACTGTAAATTAACTATGTGTAAATATCTGTATTTGATTGTATTGTTATTTGTATGTGAGGGCCTCAGGGAAGATTAGTTTGTTGTAACTAATTGTGTTTACCCTCTTTAAATAAATGATATTATTATTATTATTATTATTATTATTATTATTATAACCATAAAAATGAGGTAAAGGTCAGATGAACCTTACCAGACAGACATTGTATACCTTACAATTATTCCATACACCAATTATAATTGACTTATTGCTTATAGTATCTAATAAACTGACAAAATCATGAAAACATTTACCAGTGAACGACATCTTAAAATCATTCTATACACAAAATATAATGGCCAGATTGCTTTAGTAACATGAGAAATAGAATTACAAAAGCTAAACATTGTCCAATGAACCATGAAAATGAGGTCAAGGTCATATGAAAATTGCCAGTCAGCCAAGTACACCTAACAATCATTCCATACACCAAATATAATTGACCTATTGCTTATAGTATCTGAGATCCGAACTTGACCCAAGAAAATTTAACCATGATCACTGATCCATGAAATGAGGTTGAGGTCAGATTGACCCTGTCTGACAGACATCTAGACCTTGCAAGAAATCCATATACAAAATATAGTTATCCTATTACTCATAATAAGTGAGTATTTCACATGACAAAAAAACTTTTTTTTTTCAAGCAGTCACTGAACCATAAAAATGAGGAAGGACAATAACATATGACAGACGGAAACTTTGTAACATAAGGTATCTGCATATGTTCTACCTTCTGACATATAAAGCTTATAGTTTACGCCATCATCGCCCAAATTGTAATCCCTATGTCTTGCATTCTGCGACTTTCAACAATATACAGGTGTATTGTAATTAGGACCCTGCTGATTAATTGGGGGAAGGCCTGTAGTAATCAGCTTGCACGTGGATTTGTTCGTCTCTCAGTCAGCTTACTCACCCCTGTGCATATGTACAAAAATCATTTCTTTAAAACCCCTAGGAGTTGTGTAATGAAACTTGGTATGATTATTCACCAATACTAAAAGGTATTTCATGTACAAGGAAGAAAACCATGTTTATACAGTGAATGTCATGGTCAAAAACTTATTTCCAACTTAACTGTCCCTATATGTACAAAAATTGTTTCAGTTCTCCAACTTTTAAACCCCTTAGGGTTTGAGGATGAATTAGTGGTGCATCAGAAAAATTTCTCTTGACCTCTGTGGATATGTAATGTATTTTTGTTATGAGCAAAGTTATGTTTAAATTGAATAACACTGATGACTTCCCAGAGAACAGTATTAATTTGCATCACAATTAACTTCTTCACTGGAGTAGGGCCTTCAGTGGTGGCTCCGATCACTGTTCTCTACTTACTTTCATAACTTTGTGACTTCTGCATATGTTTGATGTTTCTCAGTAACAATTTTATGCCAGAACTAGGCAATTTTGTTTTTTTCAAAAACCAAATATTGAATTGTCCCTTCTTTTGACCTTAAAATGTTAGAGGATAATGTTCATATATTTATGTCATAATAGGGTTCTCACTTAGGCGAGTCAATGAGTACTGGACTCTTGCAAATCTGTCTGGACTCATCATTTTCAAAACTGGTGAGTCCAAGGATGCATTAAGATTGTAAAATGTTGTATCAACTGAGCACATAATCCATCATATCAACTGTTTAACAATAATCTAAATTTTATGTCATTTCCTTGCTTTTTTTTTGTCATAAAGACTGAAATAATAAATAATATAGCAATACAATTTCATCTTCTCACTGCTAACGTGAGGATACCCAAATTGCACCTATTTCGACAGTTTTTATACGTCGCAAAAAAATTTTTGTGGTCGTATATTGGTATGACGTTGGCATCGTCGTCGTCCGGCGTCGTCCGAAGACACATTGGTTTTCGCACTCTAACTTTAGTTTAAGTGAATGGATCTCTATGAAATTTTACCACAAGGTTCAATACCACAAAAGGAAGGTTGGGATTGATTTTGGGGGTTATGGTACCAACAGTAAAGGAATTAGGGGCCAAAAAGGGGCAAAAAATAAGCATTTTTGTAACTTCCAGACATAACTTGTGTGTTAGTGTATGGATCTCTCTGACATTGTACCACAAGGTTCCATATCACAAAAGGAATGCTGGGATTGATTTTGGGGGTAATTGCCTCAAAATTTTAGGAATTGGGGGCCAAAAAGGGGCAAAAAACAAGCATTTTTCTAGTTTCATTACAATAACTTGTGTGTAAGTGTATGGATCTTTCTGAAATTGTACTACAAGGTTCCATATCACAAAGGGAAAGCTGGAATTGAGTTTGGGGGTAATTGCCGAAACGTTTAGGAATTTTGGGCCAAAAAGGGGCCAAAAAACACATTTTTCTAGTTTCCAGACAATAACTTGTGTTCAAGTGTATGGATCTCTCTGAAATTGTACTGCAAGGTACCATACCACAAAGGGAAGGCTGGGATTGAGTTTGGGGGTGATGAATCATAAGGGGGTTCAAAAAATTTGGGGGGGGGGGATTTTTTTTTTTTTCATTTTTTTTCTTTTTTTCCTTTTTTTTTCTTTTAAAATTTTCCATTTTAAGTTGGTTATTTCTGATTTATATTTAAAAGCAAATAATAATGATATGGTAGGAGATACACACCAAACAGGATGTGTAAATTATTATATAATTAGTATTGTGCAATAGCAAGAAATTTTCAATTGCACAGTATTGCACAATAGCAAGAAATCTTCAATTGCACAGTATTGCACAATAGCAAGAAATCTTCAATTGCACAGTATTGCGCAATAGCAAGAAATATCCAATAGCACAATATTGCGCAATAGCAAGAAATTGTCAATTGTACTGTATTGCGCAATAGCAAGAAATATTTAATTGCACAGTATTGTGCAAAAGAAGATACTTCGTATAAATTGCTTATTTCTTGACCAATTTCAATGGGGTTTTATTCTTGAATTCTTGGGGTTCTTTAATATGCTGAATCTAACCGTATATTTAGTTTTTGGATTTTGGGCCCCGTTTTTAAATTGGTCCACATTGAGGTCCAAAGGGTCCAAAATTAAACTTTGTTTGATTTCATCAAAAATTGAATCATTGAGGTTCTTTGATATGCTGAATCTAACCGTGTATTTAGATTCTTAATTTTTGGTTCCGTTTTCAAATTGGTCTACATTAAGGTCCAAAGGGTCCAAAATCAAACTTAGTTTGATTTTAACAAAAATTGAATTCTAAGGGTTCTTTGATATGCTGAATCTAAACATGTATTTAGATTTTTTATTATGGGCCCAGTTTTCAAGTTGGTCCAAATCGGGGTCCAAAATTAAACTTTGTTTGATTTCAACAAAAATTGAATATATGGGGTTCTTTGATATGCTGAATCTAACCATGTATTTAGATTTTTGATTTTTGGGCCCCGTTATCAACTTTGTCCACATTGAGGTCAAAAGGGTCCAAAATTAAACTTTGTTTGATTTCATCAAAAATTGAATTCTTGGGGTTCTTTGATATGCTGAATCTAATCATGTATTTAGATTTTGGATATTGGACCATAATAGGTGAATGTCAAATTTAAAATTTTTAAGTTCTTTGACCACATTCATTCTGTGTCAGAAACCTATGCTGTGTCAAATATTTAATCACAATCCAAATGCAAAGCTGTATCAAGCTTGAATGTTGTGTCCATACTTGCCCCAACTGTTCAGGGTTCGACCTCTGCGGTCGTATCAAGCTGCGCCCTGCTGAGCATTTTATTTCACCTGCGTTGATTAATGATCCAGACAAAGTTTCTGTTCTGTGTTTATTTTGAAGGTGTATCCTAATTATGCCCCCGCCGTAGCGAAGGGGGCATTAAGTTTTACCCTTGTCCGTCTGTACGTACGTACGTACATCCGTACGTCCAACAATTGGTCTCCGTTCTCTAACTTGAGTTTGCCTCAACCATATGTTATGAAACCTATACACAATGCTAATTACCACAAAACACAGATCAAGTTTGAATTTTGGTGGCGTCACTTTAACCGTTCTAGAGTTATGCCCCTTTATAAATGGAAAAATTGCAAAATTTTTAGTTTCCGTTCTCTCACTTAAGTTTGCCTCAACCAAATGTTATGAAACTTATACATAATGCTTATTACCACAAAACACAGATCATGTTTGAATTTTGGTGTCATCACTTTAACCGTTCTAGAGTTATGCCCCTTTAAAAATGGAAAAATTACAAAATTTTTACTTTCTATTATCTAACTTAAGTTTGTCTCAACCAAATGTTATGAAACTTATACACAATGCTTATAACCACCAAATACAGATCAAGTTTGAATTTTGGTAGCGTCACTCTAACCGTTCTAGAGTTATGCCACTTAAAAAATGGAAAAAATTTTAGTTTCTGTTCTCTAACTTAAGTTTGCCTCAACCAAATGTTATGAAACTTATACACAATGCTTATTACCACAAAACACAGATCATGTTTGAATTTTGGTGTCATCACTTTAACCGTTCTAGAGTTATGCCCCTTTATAAATGGAAAAATTGCAAAATTTTTAGTTTCCGTTCTCTAACTTAAGTTTGCCTAAATTAAATGTTATGAAACTTATACATAATGCTTATTTACCACAAAATAAAGATCAAGTTTGAATTTTGGTGGGGTCACTTTAACCATTCTGGAGTTATGCCACTTTATAAATGAAAAAAAAAATGCAAAATTTTTAGTTGCCGTTCTCTAACTTAAGTTGCCTCAACCAAATGTTATGAAACTTATACACAATGCTTTTTACCACAAATGCAATGTTTAATTTTGACTTCCACTGATAAAACACAGATCAAGTTGAATTTTGGTAGCGTCACTTTAATCATTATCTAGTTATGCCCCTTTATAAAACGAAAAAATTGAAAAATTTTTAGTATCCGTTCTGTAACTTAAGTTTGCCTCAACCAAACATTATGAAACCTATACACAATACTTATTACCTTAAAACTCAGATCAAGTACAAATTTGGGTAGCGTCACTTTTATCGTTCTTGAGTGGTGTCCCTTTATATTGTTGTATGCAAGCGGGGGCATCATCTGTGTCCATGGGGACACATTCTCCATTTATTTACTATATAGTTCCACCAATTTAATTTTGAATCCATATTGAATCATAGAAAAATGGGTTTGAACTGACCTCCAAACGATCTATGATTCTGTTTGGAGGAGTATCCAAATTGTATCCATGCTTAAATTCACATACGTAAAAATTGAATAACTGCTGTTTTGTTTTATTTCTTCATAGTCCATTCTTACTATTCGTTTTTTTTAAGAAATAAATAAATGCCTGTAATATATTTTAATTACTCATTTTTAAAAGATGACTTTATGTGGACATCATATTGGTGACGTTTCGGTAGATTTAACTTTTTGGAGTGAAAACTATATCTATTGACATATACTGAACTTTTTGTGTATATTTAGATAAAGCTATGTTAAAAGACGTGCATAAAGTCAAATCATGAAAATACAAATTGTTTAATCTATAAGAAAATTTATAAGATTTCCGTTGGTATTTTTGCTAAATCGGTGCAATTTGGGTACTCGGTGCAATTTGGGTACTGTGACGTTAGACTCGCCATGGCCAAAAATGAAGAGTCCCTAGACTTTCCAAAAATCTTACTGAGAACCCTGTCATAAGAGAAGATACTTTGAGCATATCAGTCAAGTATTTTATCAAAAATTCAATTAAAAATATTTTATTTTGATGGCAATGTAAATGCACTTATTCCTTCATTTACTTAACTTTTATTATTTCAGAATCTGCCAAGCTTGGAATCTATTAATTTGTGTGCATGTAAACATTTAACAGACAGAACATTGAAGGCTTTGTGTAGATACAGTAAAAACTTGCGACAGTTAAATCTGAGTTGGATACGGACCATGTCTGAAAAGGCGATAATAGATTTAATGATTAAATGCACACAACTAAAACATTTAGATATATATGATCATAAGATATCTCCAGAAGGACGAAGATGCATGGTTGATATTGCTAAACCTCAGGGATTGACTGTTGTATTGAAAGGATTAAATGACCAAGAAGTAGCACCAGCAAACCCTTGCTTGATGTTACCTAATTTTGGATTAACATGGTAAAGGAGTTTTGATATTTGATTTTAATACGACCGCAAAAAAATTTTTTGGGATCGCAAAATGGTATGATGCAGTCGTCGTCCGAAGACACATTGGTTTCCGGACAATAACTTTAGTTTAAGTTAATGGATCTCTATGAAATTTTTTGAGAAGGTTCAATACCACAAAAGGAAAGTTGGGATTGATTTTGGGGCTGATGGTCCCAACCGTTTAGGGATTAGGGGCCCAAAAGGGGCCCAAAACAAACATTTTTCTAGTTTCAGGATAATAACTTGTGTATAAGTATTTCGATTGCTCTGAAATTGTACAACAATGTTTAATACCACAATTAGAAGGTTGGGATTCATATAAGGGGTTATGGGGCAAACAGTTTAGGAATTAAGGGCCTAAAAGGGGCCAAAAACAACAATTTCTGTAGTTTACGGACAATAACTTGTGTGTAAGTGTATGGATCTCTCTGATATTGTACCATAAGGTTCCATATCACAAGGGGAAGGCTGTGATTGAGTTTGGGGGTAATTGCCTCAAACATGTAGGAATTAGGGGCCAAAAAAGGGCCAAAAACATGCATTATTCTAGTTTCCAAACAATAACTTGTGTTAGATGTGTATGGATCTCTCTGAAATTGTACTACAAGGTTCCATACTACAAAGGAAAGAATTGGATCGAGTCTTGGGGTAATTGCTCCAAGGGGGAATCCAAAAGTCGCAGGAGGGGGGGGGGATTCATATTTTTTTCAAAAATTTTCAAATTTCAAATTTTGTAAAAGTTTCAAGAAGTAATCTTCAATTGCACAGTATTGCGCAATAGATTTGTAAGATCTTTTACCACATTTATTTTGTATCAGAAACCTATATTATGTCAAAAATTTGATCACAATCAAAATTCAGACAGTATCAAGCTTGAATATTATATCCAAATTTGCCCCAACTGTTCAGGGTTTGACCTTTTCGGTCGTATAAAGTATTTTTTAATATGAATGTAGGCTAAATTTGGTCACTAAGTGAATATTTTCATTTTATTATGATGCAAGAGATTTAGAGTTTCTTCAGTTTAAAATCAAAGCTATAATTTTGTATTATAAAAACAAAATTTGAGTTTGTAGTCTTAACATCAGCACAGTCAGGCTAATCACTAGTTATGCCCCCGCCGTAGCGGTGGGGGCATTAAGTTTTACCCTTGTCCGTCTGTACGTATGTCCGTCCGTACGTCCCAAAATTGGTTTCCGTTCTCTAACTTGAGTTTGCCTCAACCAAATGCTATGAAACTTATACACAATGCTAATTACCACAAAACACAGATCAAGTTTGAATTTTGGTGGCGTCACTTTAACTGTTCTAGAGTTATGCCTCTTTATAAATGGAAAAATTGCAAAAATTTTATTTTCTTCTAAATATCGAGTAATTTTTAAAATTGGAGTTATCTTCCTTTGTCCATGATAATAGTTGAATCAACTACAATCAATGCTTTATATAATGCAATGTTTAATTTTGACTTCCACTGATAAAACACAGATCAAGTTGAATTTGGGTAGTGTCACTTTAATCATTATTGAGTTATGCCCCTTTATAAATCGAAAGATTGCCAAATTTTTAGTTTCCATTCTGTAACTTAAGTTTGCCCAAACCAAACATTATGAAATCTATACACAATATTCATTACCACTAAACTAAGATCAAGTACAAATTTTTTGTGTCCGTTTTCTAAGTTTAGTTTGCCTCAACCAAATGTTATGAAACTTATACACAATGCTTATTACTACATAATACAGATTAAGTAAAAAATTTGGTGGCTACACTTTTACCATTCTTGAGTTATGTCCCTTTTTAAACATAAAAATTGCTGAATTTTTCGTTTCCTTTCTCTTACTTTAGTTTGTCTCAACCAAATGTTATAAAACTTATACACAACCGTTCTAGAGTTATGCGGTTTACAACTAGAAAAATTGCTGAATTTTTAGTTTCTGTTCTCTACTTAAGTTAGCCTCAACCAAATGTTATGGGACTTACATACAATGCTTATTACCACAAAACTCAGATCAAGTTCAAATTTGGGTAGCGTCACTTTTATTGAGTATCATTTTTTAAAAGCGATGATTAAAGAATTGTTGGAAAGAATATTCAAATAAAATTCTAATTGATACATATGATAGCTTTTTACAAAAATATTATTTTACAAAGAAAAATTATAAAATAAAAATCGCCATGTATTGTTAATTTAATATAAAGTTTGTTAAATTTGCCACTATCTGGAAGTGCAGGGAGTGTTGTGTTATGTTGATTATATATCTGTGATATTATTTCTGCATTTTATATTATATTATACTTGTTGTTATAATAATTATTGTTATAAAATATTTGGTTAATAAATTTTTTTTATGATTTTTATCTATTCCCTTTCCTTATGCCAGAAAGGTGATGTAAGGTACTGTCAATACTTATCACTTATTGGCAATCCATCATTTATTACTAGCAACATTTCATATAAAAATAAGATCTGGTATGATTGCCAATGAGACAACTCTCCACAAGAGACTAAATGACACAGAAATTAACAACTATAGGTCACTGTACGGCCTTCAACAATGAGCAAAGCCCATACCACACAGTCAGCTATAAAAGGCCCCAAAATGACAAATGTAAAACAATTCAAACAAGAAAACTAACAGCCTGATTAATGTACAAAATAATGAACGAAAAACAAATATGATACACAGTAACAAACGACAACCACTGAATTACAGGCTCCTGTTTATATTAATTTTTTCCTCAGAACTCAAATTGTTCTGTAAAGTCCTGATTTTTGAATACCAAATTGCTAAAAGTCTTGGTGCACATGTTAATTGAACATGCCCTTATTGTCATGTAATCCTGACCTATTGTAATTTCAGAAATTATTGTGATGTTTTTAAAAAAATGCAAAAAATGCGACATTATCAGGTTTGCAAATAAAAATAATAAAATCTTACATTCATTGGTGTCACTTTTACTGATCTAGAGTTATGCCCTTTACAAATGGAAAAATTGCTGAATTTTTTGTTTCCGTTCTCTAACTTAAGTTTGCCTCAACCAAATGTTATGAAACTTATACGCAATGCTTATTACCACAAAACTCAGATCAAGTACAAATTTGGGTAGCATCACTTTTTCCTTTCTTGAGTTATGTCCCTTTATAACGTTACATTGAAGAGGGGGCATCATCTGTGTCCCATGGACACATTCCCCATTTATTTTTTTATTATTCGAAAGAAACTTTCCAAAAAGGTTCAACAGTGATCCCAATTCCCTAAGCTTTCATTTGATACCAAAATGTAAAAGCATGGAAAAACAAGAGCAATTTATGTATCTCCCAGCTAGACAACTTGCTAAACTGTTTGAAAATAGCATTTCAAGTGAGATTTTGAAATTCCTATATAAGTATATAGCAATTTCCTTAGAAATAAATGATACACCGAGAAACCCAATACAACATAAAAACTCACTAGATAATTTGACCACTACATTTTAACTTTTAACTATAAACCAGTCATAATAAACATGTTTCATTGATTTCAGTCTTAAATTATGCAAAAATTTAAACTTCAGGTTAAGTCTTTAGGTGTAATACCACCAAATCATAGTACGTCACATCCGGTTGCATACGAAAATAGTACGAAAAAAAAATGTTCCCTTGCATTTGACAGTTGTAGGTAATTGATCCTACATTTCATTGCAGTAAAACATTTCTGGGTCATAAACATATATCTTGGGTATTTCAAAGCACCATTATTATACCCCACGCAACGAGTTGCGGAGGGTATAATGTTTTTGACCCGTCCGTCCGTCTGTCCGTCCGTCAGTCCGTCAGTCCTGTTTCTTGTCATCGCAACTCCTCTCAAACCACACAACAAAATTTCACGAAACCTTTTTAGATAATAAGAACATACTATGTAGTTGTGCATATCGACAGGAAATTACGATTTAATTTTTTTTCTAGGAGTTACGCCCCTTTGAACTTATTTACTTTAATGTACTACTGCAACAGTTTGTCATCTCAACTCCTCTGAAACCACACAACAAAATTTCATGAAACTTTGTAGATAATAAGGACATACTACGTAGATGTGCTTATCGACAGGAAATTACGATTCAATTTTTATACGACCGCAAAAATTAAAAATTTTTTGGTCGTATATTGGTATGACGTTGGCGTCGTCGTCGTCGTCGTTGTCGTCGTCCGGCGTCGTCGTCGTCGTCCGGCGTCGTCCGAAGACACATTGGTTTTCGCACTCTAACTTTAGTTTAAGTGAATGGATCTCCATGAAATTTCACCATAAGGTTCAATACCACAAAAGGAAGGTTGGGATTGATTTTGGGGGTTATGGTACCAACAGTTAAGGAATTAGGGGCCAAAAATAAGCATTTTTGTAACTTTCAGACAATAACTTGTGTGTAAGTGTATGGATCTCTCTGACATTGTACCACAAGGTTCCATATCACAAAGGGAAGGCTGTAATTGATTTTGGGGGTAATTGCCTCAAAATTTTAGGAATTAGGGGCTAAAAAAGGGGCAAAAAACAAGCATTTTTCTAGTTTCATGACAATAACTTGTGTGTAAGTGTTTGGATATTTCTGAAATTGTACTACAAGGTTCCATATCACAAAGGGAAAGCTGGAATTGAGTTTGGGGGTAATTGCCCGAAACGTTTAGGAATTGGGGGCCAAAAAGGGGCCAAAAATAAGCATTTTTCTAGTTTCCAGACAATAACTTGTGTTCAAGTGTATGGATCTCTCTGAAATTGTACTGCAAGGTACCATACCACAAAGGGAAGGCTGGGATTGAGTTTGGGGGTGATGAATCATAAGGGGGTTCAAAAAATTTGGGGGGGGGATTTTTTTTTTTTTTTTTTTTCTTTTTTTCCTTTTTTTTTTCTTTTAAAATTTTCCATTTTAAGTTGGTTATTTCTGATTTATATTTAAAAGCAAATAATAATGATATGATAGGAGATACACACCAAACAGGATGTGTAAATTATTATATAATAAGTATTGTGCAATAGCAAGAAATTTTCAATTGCACAGTATTGCACAATAGCAAGAAATCTTCAATTGCACAGTATTGCGCAATAGCAAGAAATCTTCAATTTAACAGTATTGCGCAATAGCAAGAAATATCCAATAGCACAATATTGCGCAATAGCAAGAAATTGTCAATTGTACAGTATTGCGCAATAGCAAGAAATATTCAATTGCACAGTATTGTGCAAAAGAAGATACTTCGTATAAATTGCTTATTTCTTGATCAATTTCAATGGGGTTTTATTCTTGAATTCTTGGGGTTCTTTAATATGCTGAATCTAACCGTGTATTAAGTTTTTGGATTATGGGCCCCGTTTTTAAATTGGTCCACATTGAGGTCCAAAGGGTCCAAAATCAAACTTTGTTTGATTTCATCAAAAATTGAATTATTGGGGTTCTTTGATATGCCGAATCTAACCGTGTATTTAGATTTTTAATTTTGGGTCCCGTTTTTTAAATTTGTCTACATTAAGGTCCAAAGGGTCCAAAATTAAACTTAGTTTGATTTTAACAAAAATTGAATTCTTAGGGTTCTTTGATATGCTGAATCTAAACATGTGTTTAGATTTTTGATTATGGGCCCAGTTTTCAAGTTGGTCCAAGTTGGGGTCCAAAATTAAACTTTGTTTGATTTCAACAAAAATTGAATAT